CGCGCGTGCGCGCACACACACACATACAATCTGAGCACATCCTTACAATGAATGCAAACTGAGAAGATATAAACAATAATGCTCAAAAATTTAAAAATAGCTCATGAACCACTGGACCCTGAAGAAAATCCAGTCAGCTTCTACAGACTCCTTCCAAAATGTTCCTAGCTTTCTAGGCTCTCTATCAGATGCTTCTAAAGGAACTGTGTCCCCTGGTCATCTTTAGATCTTCAGTTAGCTTAAGTCCACAGCCTTGAGGATCAGGGCTGGAATGGAACAAAAACCAAAGAGCAGAGCCTGGTATTTTAAGGGACCGCTTACCAGCCACCTAGATATACCATGAGCACAGCATGACGTTCCCACTCCCAGAATCTCCATCTGACCCTGGTCCAAAGGGAAGTGGAGGATTCAGAAGAGCTTCCGTGAACCCCAAGGCTCAGCTAGCAGATATCCCTGTTTAGCCAATGCTACTTCAAATGCTAGGTCTAGAGAAACCCCCTAGCCTCCTTGGTAGTGATTTAAAAAGACAGTTCAGCAGAATCTACTGTACATCACACAGGTGGAGTACAAGGCTGCTACTAGGCCGCTTCCTAGTTTATCAGTGGACCAGCTCCCATGTCATGCCATCTAGGTTTTGGCAAAGTTACTCCAATTCCAGAATTCCTGGGCCAGGACTGATTCAAGAAGAAGCCTAGGGATGCATGGGTCCCCTCCACAGAAGGAGGACCAGTAGATGAGGCAGGACTGACTAAGTCAGGACTAGACGCTATAGAAATGGAGCATGGGGGCTAGGCTATAGGGGATTCCTAAGGATGAGAGCTCCACTTCCAAAGAATCAACCTCCAGAGAGGTTTTTCCCTTACCCCCATCTAACCCACTTTATTAGCATACCCAAGAAAGAGAAGCTCTTCCATTCCTGTCCCAAACCCCATGACATTTGGTGCCATTATTTTCCTAAAACGTCTACCTGTGTGTCCATTCTGGAAAGCATAAACCAGGAAAGACCAAGACAGAGGAAGGAAGAACAGAGATTGCCTTCCTGGGCCCAGTGCAGAGTCAACTCCAACTTGATGTTCTCCAGTTGCCCTTTCAAGCCATCTTTAACCTCATAGAGTTGAGATTAGCACCAACAGGATCACCAGGGACTGCTGGGCAGTGACACATGGGTCAGAGGTCAGAGGTCAGAGCTGTGGGAGCTAGACAAAAGATAGTGCCTCTTTTCCTTCTAGGTCCATCCTGGGAAGATCATGCAGAGAAAACTCTTTGATGCTAACCCCAGGAGCAACAGGAAGCATCCTGGAAATCACCTGGAAATACTCCAGTCCATACATCTGGGCAATGAAAAAAGATCCCAAAAGACATAGAAATCAAGGGCCCAGGGAAGGTCATATCCCACTAGGAGGCTATTCAGGAGACCACACACAGGTCTCCGACTTAGAGTACCACCCACTCCACCCACCACCTGCCTGCCCGCCACCCTGCATTTTCATCTCTGGGTTCTCCCCAGCACATGTATTCTAGCACACCTAACTCTTCAATTCTAAGTTGAGAGCCAAGTCCCCTGCAGGGAATTTGGCTATGCTGTGCCATTCCCCAATGCCTCTGCCAGACTCATCCTAGATGCAGCCTCTTTCCTCATTCCTGCCCTTCTTCCTCTGGGACGCCATGTTACATCTGTATACTGGAGGATGTGGTAAGTAGAAGAGGAGCAAAGATGGGTTCAAGTGCTGCCCTGGTTGAAGAAAGCAGCTCACATAGCCTCATCTTGAGCCAACATGAACTTCCTACCTGACAAACCAAGCCATGTCCCCAAGTCAAAAATCTTGATGTGGTGTTGTCTATAGACCCTGCTTTGCAGTCCTTGAAGTCCCCAAATGCAAGGGGCTCATTTTCTTGGTCAGTCCTTCGCTCCTCAGCGTCCTCTATCTGGACCCTCACAATGCCCAATGGTGTTTAAACATCTGTTCTGACTCTGTGCTGTTTACCACACAACTCTCCTGATCATGACTGCTCCAACTTCAGGAAAATAAGCAAACAAAAATCTCTCTATTCCTTAAACCAATAAATGAAGTCATCAAAATGTTCCACAGTCTTCCTTCTCACACATGACTTCAAGCACAGGAGCTACATGTCCTAAGGGCCACCCAGCCTTCTTCAAAATAATACTGACAAGCAGGCACAAGGTCCTGTCACTTATCTGCTGGAGGCTCCTGACTTACATATCTGAGTAGCTCGACCGTAAGCACCTGAATAGGCACCCTGCAGCCTGCTGGCTTTCTGGACCAGCCGAGCCCACCTGTAGGCACAGGGTCCTGCTACTCTGTACCAGCTCTTCCAAGACTCTGCTGTTCATTGTTCGGTTGTTATGGGTTGCTGTGTATGATGGAGTCTGGCAACATTGCCATTTGGCCCACAGGGGATACTGTGTCTCCATCTAAGAAATAGCACACTCCCTTTTTGTGTTGTTTTAGGAATTCCATGGTCCATCCAGCTTCCCCTTAATCCAAGTAAGATTAATCCAAGTAAGAAGCTCAGAACTGATGTTCAGTGCTCCGCCTACCTATACAGTTAAGGCTTTTGCTTTCTCCTGCCTTCTAGGGCCCTCAGTTACCACTGCCAACCCCTCTATTGTAGTAGGTACAGGCCTATTTCAAATTCTTTCATCTGTTATATTTAACGTAGACTTTTTAAAAAGCAGACTCGAAAGTCTATTTCTTCACAAGGTTTTCACCGAGCCTTGTAGCCAGCTCAATGCTCAATCCCTTCTCCAAACACTGTGAGAGCTTGTTTTCCAAACCAAACAAAAGTGGAGCCTCCCATTCCAGCTGCACACAGACCCAATTCTCCAGGGTCCAAAAGAAGTCATCTTCCATTCTGTGTCCTCCTCAAGGCTCCCTATTCAGCCCTGCTGCTTTCTGAAGAAAACAGTTTGAGCCTGGTGCCTCTTCTTTGAGCTTCTTGATTGGCTTTCAGCACACACAGACACACACATGTATACATGCGCATATGTATGGAGGTACCTGGCCTGGCAGATTCTTCCCTCTTGAACCCCTTTCTTCTGGATTCTGGGTCACTGCTTCCTGGTTTTCCTATACCCTCCCTGCGTTCCTGTCTTCTGCTGTACTGTTTCTGTGTCTCTCTTACATATGCATGGGCACTCCCAGTAGAGCCAGCCCTCATTCCCACACCAATGGCTCCACGATCCCCTGACCACTGATGATGCCCCTGTCACCTTCAGCCTGGACTCCCTCATGGGCTCCATTAACCCTCCTCATTACATAACCAGGCTTTAATCAAAATCAAGGATCCCAAAGCACCTATATCCATCCCCTCTCTCCAGCTTCCTGACTGAGCTCTGAAATCACCAGTGAAGCACCCCAGATAAGTCACTCTGGTCCCTCAGACACAGCATGTCCAACAACACCCCCACAGAATAACTCCATTGTCTCACAGTTATTCAACTAGAAAACAAGCAATTGCCAGCCACACATCCATCCAATTAGTGTCTTGTTGAGTACTCCCCAAGGCCACACTCTGAATTCAGGAAAGGGCGCAGAGTTCCTGCCTCCAGGAGACTTGCAGACAGACAGACAGTCTGGTCAAGTCTACTTGCCATCTTCAGTGAAAAGATCCACTTTTCTTCATTCCTACAGCCATCCCCTTAAGTCCAAAGTGATATGCCTGCTGTCATTCGGGTTGCACACTTTAACAGCCGTAGTGGTGAGAAAGAATATTATGCAACCCCAGCTATAAAATGTGTGTGGTCTATGACCTGGGACAAGAGATTTCCTTAGTCTGTTCCCTCCCTTCAAAGATGACAACAATACCTACCTCAGAGACTTTCTGCAGGGTTAATAGGTTACAAGCATGAAGCCTTTAGACAGTGTCCAGACACAGTAGACAAACTGAGACTACTGCAATGTTCCCTTCGCCAGCAGTCCCCCATCACCCACTCTGAAGTTCCCCATGCGCCCATGCTCTCTTTCAAGTCTCTGTTGACAGACTCACTTCTGGGCCTTCTCCTTCTCAGTCCTCAAGACCCCATCAACTCAATGACACACCCCCATCAGGACTTCCAGGCTTTGTCAGATGGCTCTCCCTTCTGCTCCCTTCTCTGCAAGCCACGTTCCACTAAATGGGGACCACTTCTCCTCCTATGGGACGTGTGCTCTGTTGAGAGCAACGTGTTCTTCTCTCCATGGTCAGGACTGAGTATTGAACACTTCACATGGCATGGCTTAATATATCAATACTTAGCGAAGGGAAAAGCACAACAATTGAAAAAAAAAAAGCAGAACACCTAAATAATTAGACTATACTTATTAAATATATTTGTTATATGCCAGGCTCTGTGCTAAGGTTTGGACATGTAATCCCACCACAATAATGCTGGGATATTTTATTACTCACTCACACGTGAAGCAATGAAAACTCAGGAAATCTTAAAAACTGACTCAAAGTCACACAGTTTGCAAGTGGTAAAGTCAGGATTTGAACTCAGCACTGTCAGACTCCAGAACCTAACTCCAGTCCTCACCCAACACTAGCTTGGCTTTGCTCTCAGTCTGCAAGGATCTGGCTCTTAGATCATATTCCTCTGCTAGGACATAGGCACAGGCTTCCCTGAAAAGTGAACCTCTGAAGGTCCCTACCTCCTGTTAGTAATCCATGATTTGATATTTTAAGTTCCTTGGGTAGTTTGTTTTGGCATCCCTCAAAGTACTTAGCATGAAGCTGCACGCAGAGTAGAAAATAATAAGCCCATACTGAATGGAATAATTGGGTGATGGACAGGTGAATGAATACATTTAGATGGACAGAAGAGTGGATGAATGAATGAAATGAATAGGTGACAATTGATTTCACCTATGACCAACCGGTTTTAACCTTCTTAACATCTTCTTCTGGGCTCATTCATGGTCATAATTCAAGTGACCCTAAAAAAACGCCCAAACACTTGAGCACCCTAAGTAGACGGCCATAGATTCCATTGCTCTTACCGGCACAGGTGGTCTATACGGCACAGGGTGCGCAGGTCCAGGCAGTTGGGCTTCTCCTTGTCCTCATAGGAGCAGCTGGGCAGAATGGTTTGCCGGCGACGCTCAGCACATGCCTGGTCCTGACAGGAACAGAAGAGCATGCGGTAGGTATACTCGCTGGGCACACGGTCAAAGAACTGGCGCAGGGCCTTGTGGCACTTGCGGCGGTTGCAGCGTTCGGTGGACGAGATCTCACGGTTGCAGATGGAGATGTAGGAGGAGCGGAGCTTCTTGCAGTTGTCGTTCAGGTTGCAGGCCTTGGCGGCATCCAGGCAGTGATTGCTCTTGGCACTGACCACTGGGTCTGCCCCTGTCCCTGGAGGAGGAAGGAGAAGACTAGTCAGAGGTACATATGGGCACAAGGAGAGGACATGCAGGGACACTCGAGATTGGTACCATATACAGGCTCTTTTCCTCAGTTTCCTTGTGTCTGAGAATAAAGATAATTTCCAAGAATATATAGCTGTGGCGAGCACTAAAGATGTTAATATGCAGGTGTCCAAAGTGCACGAGACAGTTACAGGAAAGGGGTACACTGCGTGAGCAAGGAGTAGTTCAGAAGGCGACTCATCCCAAAGGCTTAGACTAACCCCAGCTTCAGAAGCTTGGAAATGGTTGTTCACAGCTCTGTTTACTAGGGCAGGAAATAATGCGTCTGTTTCAAAGTCACATAACCAGGGGCCCCTGCCAGTCCTCCAACAGCACAGCTCAGTGGGACTTCACGGAAGAGGCAACTCTGGCATTTGGCATGGGGAGCACTCATCACTGAGTCTTGTCAACGAGGATGCAAGCAACATCCCAGCCACCCTCCTCACCCCTACCCTTGTAACCACCAAAACTGCTCTTCTATATCCAGAAGGGTGTGGCTGCCACTGCCACCTAAAAGGATGCACAAGTCCTCTAACTGTAAAGGGCAGACTGGCCCAGCTTCAACTCTGACACCACTGGATATATGACCAACCATGAGCCAGATGGGCTGGGTCTCTTGCCATATTGTTGTGACTTTTTATTTAATACAGTGAGGGTAGTGTATGAGGTACAGCAGGGTTCCTGGGAATCACATGGCTACTCTGTGATGGTTGTCCCAACCCCATAGATCTTAGTTGTGCCAAGAAGATACTCAGCCCAGAAACCATCTGACTCTACCACCAGCCAGTTCCCACCTAGAGAGACCCTCTTGGGCAACTTGATAACAGGCAGTTGGGCTTCTTCCAGGGCCAGTCAGGTGGGTAGTCACCCAACCCAACCTGTGTTTTACAGGTTAAAAAGAAATGAATTGTGGGTGAGTACAGGACTGCCACAGCCATCCTGAACACTGACAGAAAACTGAGGGCAGAAGCCAGTTGCTCAGCACCAACATATGCCTAGGCCAGAGGTGAGTTCTTCCACCCTGCCAGGTTCAGTCTTCCCTGTGTAGCTCCCTATACAAGAACCTGCCATAGGATAAGGGAGACTCAAAACCAGGCTGGTAGAGACCATGACCCCTCTATGGCTATGCCTGTTGGCTCAGCATTTGTATATGCAGTTCCTGGTCCTGATTGCTGGGTCATTAAATATCTGTAAAGTCCTACCTCTGCTAGGTGCCATGCTGGGAGCTTAATACAGAAAAGGATAGAAGTCCCTCACTAAAGAGTTGACTACTCCAGCCAGGAAACCAAGAGGCAGAACCAGACCAGAACCAGGCCTTGTAAAATATTAAGCCAGCCTTTACATCCTGGCTCAGCTATTCATCAACTCAAACTACTCTTTGTCTCAGTTTCCTTGTCTGCAAAATAGTACCTGGCACAAAGCATCTTGGTTAGCATGAGAAATCACTAATAACTTCCTTTGCATCATGAATTTACCCTGTCTTCTAGAATATTTCAATTGGCTGTGTCTTTGAGGAACAGGGTCTCCTAGTGGTCCTGTGAGGCCCTGAATCTGCCACCCCATTTGCTGTTCCCCTTTAAAGCAAAGCCACTAGTTGTCACCCCCCCCATCTGTGTCTTGCTCTCCTTGCATTTTCTCTCAGATCCACATCTGACCTTCTACTTGTCACAAATAGGAACCTGCAGGCCTAGCCCTTCCAGCAGATGCAGCAGAAGCCCTGGACCCACCAGCTCATCCACTTCCAACTGAGTCTCCTTTCTGCTTGTCTTCATTCTGGCCTCCCCAATACCTCCCTGATCAGGTTCTTTTCTGTGCTCCCCAGGACCCAGCCCCCGTCTCCAGGCATCTGGGGCTATCATTTTATCTCACGCAATTAAACACCATCAGTCAGCCTCCTTCCGAATCCTGAGACCTCTCTGGCAAACTCCAGACTCATCTGTTCACCACTACTTAATAATACTACCTGAAAACCCAACACCCTTGGGTCAAACCCAGAACGCTGGTGGCTCAGGTAACAGTCAACTCTATCCTGGAAACGCCACACCAGCATCTTATTCACAACCACACAGGAAAACCGGGAATTCTACCTTCAAATCTACCCAGAATACATCACTTCTCACTGCCACTACCACCTCCAAATTGTCATCACCATGCCCAGTCCCCCAGCTTTCACAGCACCCTACAATGACCTTCTCTCATGGGAATTTCAAGAACCTAAGGCACAGAGGTGTGTTCCTCCGGTATTCCAGGATTTCCACTGGCTTCTTTACTCAGTGGCTTTAGCATGAGCTACAAGGCTCTGTATTTGCATTGTTCAATATGGTAACCATTGGCCATTGAACTGGAAAGATGAGGAAACACACACCAGATTCTAAAAGCTTATTAAGCAAAGCAGCATCTCACTAACAATTTCTTTGCTTTAATTGCAAGTTGAAGGGATAATATTTTGGACATGAAGTACTAAACATAGTACCAAAATTAATGTCACCTATCTTTCTTTCCTTTTAATATTGACCATTAAAACACTTAGAATTCCATGTGCATGGTGTGTCAAGTTCAAGCAGCCTTCCTCTGTCTGGCCTTGCTCCTGATCCTCCTTGTTGGTCACTCCAATATAGCCGCCATGATCTTCTTAGGACAAGCCAATGGTGGCCTGGCCTTAGGGGTTCAGAACTTGGTGTGTCCCTGATCTACAAGGCTCGCCTCTTCCCTCAATGATCATAGAGCCATATTGATTAGACAGTTCAGGTGTCTCTGCTCAAATGTTAGCTGCCCTGTGAGTTCTTCTTTCCTCCTGGCACACAGCACCTCAGTACCGCAGCTATGCCCAAGATGGTCTGTGTTCCCCACAGCATGCATCAGCAGCAGCCACAGTGTATATACATAACTCATTTCTTACATCAAAATAAGGCAGAGGTCATGTTATCCTCCATGTATCAAAAGTTTGATACATGAATATTCAGTAGGTATTTCTGGTTTACAGCAAATGCTTGAAAGTTTGTTTATATTTTGAAGGAAGCAAAATTGACACAAACCAAGTAACTGTGGACAAGATTACATTTATTCAAGTATTAATGGTAGCCTAAGCAAGAGGGATCAGAAAGCAGCAGTGGAAGAGACCCGGAAGTTAACCATCCAACAGCAACCTTGTAACACTGGGAAGAGCAATGTTCCTCTCTTTGTGCTGAGATAAAGGGGAAGGGAGTGTAAGCAACAGAAAATTATTTGGTGATAAAAGGAAATGAGCTGTCACACCATGAGAAACTCACAAAAGCAGCAGGACATAAGATGCTGAGTACATGACATTTTGGAAGAGGGAAAACAATAAGAGATCAGTGGCCATCAGAAGCTGGGGGAGGGAGTGATGAGTGGGCAAAACACAGGGTATTTTCAAGGCAATGAAATATTCTACATGATACTGTAATGGTCAGCAAGTAATATGCCTGTATCCAAGACCAGGCATACCAAGCGTGGATCTTAATGCCAGCAGCAGTAAGCTCTGGGTAGTAACAGTGTATCACTGCTGTCGGTAGTAACAAGGTACTACTGAGTAGGGTGTTGGCAGCAGGGAGGGTGAGGAAGCAGGGGGTGGACAGCAACCTTACATCTTCCATCAGGCTGTGAGTGTGGAACTCCCCTAAGACACTGAATCTCTTTAACATGGGAATTTGAGCAGGGTGTGATGGCTCACTTCTACAGTCGCAGCACTCAGGGGGCTGAGGCAGGATTATTCTTGAGTACAAGGTCAAGCTCAGCTACGTAGTGAGTTCCATGTCCTCGTGGCTTATAGAGGGAGACGCTGTCCCAAAGAGAGGGGAGAAGGAAGAAAAAATAGAAGACAAAAAAGAGAACAGGAACAGGCTAAGGTAAAATTAAGGCAGAAAAAGAATCAAGATTTATTTTCCTGGTTTTCTTTTTTTCCAATAAACAGCTTTTGACTAATGAGATGGCTCAGTAGGTAAAGAATCTGCTACACAAACTTAAGGATCTGAGTTTGGATGCCCAGGACCCACAGAGAAAGAAAGAAAGAGAGATGGTGGGGAGGGAGAGAGGGAGGGAGGGCAAAAGACAGGCTACTGGTGCATCTATAACTCCAGTGCTGGGAGAGTTAGAGGACAGGAGGATCCCCTGCTGTAAAAAAATAAAGTGGGCCGGGCATTGGTGGCGCCTTTAATCCCAGCACTCGGGAGGCAGAGGCAGGCGGATCTCTGTGAGTTTGAGGCCAGCCTGGTCTCCAGAGTGAGTGCCAGGACAACCAGAGCTACACAGAGAAGCCCTGTCTCGAAAAACTAAATAAATAAATAAATAAATAAATAAATAAATATAAAGTGGAGATGTGATTGAGGAAGACTCTTGACATTGATCTATTTGGCCCTCACATGCACACACACACACAGAGAGAGAGAGAGAGAGAGAGAGAGAGACACCACAACACTTACAAATTTAAGTAGATTCATGTATACATACATACACAAGCATACATATGTAAGTATGTTTATGTACCAGGTTCTTCCCCAGCCACTAGGTTGCCACATTGCTGAGACAGCTGGGGACAGAAAAGCTGCCCATCTGAGCAGCTAATGCTGAGCTCTGCTAATGCTGAGCTCTCCTGGAAGAGTTCAAGGTGCAGAGAGGAAAAGACCTGTCTGGAGTTGGGGGACATGGACACAATGATTTCTTTGCTGAAACTGACCAACTTCCTGGAGAAGTAGGAAAAGGGGTCCTAGGCAGAGGGGGCAGCCAAACAATGCCTGAGAAGAACACAAAGAAAATCATGCCTAGACTGGAGAAACCCACAGGGACAGCTGACCTGAAGGGGTTGCTCATGGACCCCAGACTGATAGCTGGGAAACCAACATAGGACTGTTCCAGACCCCCAGAATGAGGAAGTCAGTTTGGAGATCTGGACAATCTATGGGGCCAATGGTAGTGGATCAGTGTTTACCC